GAGCTTTCCTTCGTGTTGCTGATCAGCGACATGCTAACGAATAGCAACCGTTATTCCCACTAATCATGCCTGCATCGTAGCATGCTGCTGTTAGCGTTTAGCTCCACTAGCATGGCTGCAGACGCTGGCAGTTCTTTATATTAAGTGATCGCGGCACATTTTTGGAGGATAAAACTAAAACTTCTAAACATCAGGTTACACATCATATAAGATCCCAACTGGTGAATGAAGGCGTGTGTTTATATCTATTTAAGGCGTTGTTGTTCTATAATGTTGTTTTATATTGAAATATATGACAGCTGTCATCGTTGTGTGAAGCTGATCGCACGTATTAAAGTACGTGAAACATGAATATATTGATGACAAAAAACATAAAATTCCTATATAGCCCCATGTATTCAGAGATATTATAAATAAATAACAGTTATGAGAAAACATCAGATCAACTCTTTGAATTTAAAACCATCATATCAAGTGATTTCTTAAATTCTAAGAGAGAAATGAGCTTTAATAAATAATTCACTGGGTGCGTTTTGAGCTGTTTGTTCACGTTCAGGTCAAAGGTTTTTAGGTGATCAATAAAACCTTTTCTTTGTCGCCATAGCAACGCTCTTCCCTTTCGTATTTGACGCCATGTTCATCATTAGGTCACATCTTCCTACAGTCCCTCCCGTTTGTGACAGTTTCCTGCCACCCTTGGTCACACAGATACGATCATCTGTCCACTCAGAGTCAGGTGTCTTCTCCAACACCCAGCCTCCCCTGAAAACACTCCCTGTTTCTGTCATGAGTAACGCTCACTATACACAGCTGGATGATGTCATCACTGCACTGCTGTCATTTAGTGTTCCTGCTTTTAATAGATAGAGTTTCTCATCGTTTCTCATTGTTTTGGACTGAACCCTTCCCTCGTGTGCATCAGACTTCCTGCAATCAGGACTGTGAGAGTTTATGACCCGGCAGGAGGAGGTGCCTTCGTTCTCTGCTCGGTGTTTGTTTGCTAAATGCTCTCTGAATGGCTTTCTATGAATGTGACAAAATCGTTGAATAATAATCCAGAACAATGATGGACGAACACGCTCGTTCCACTCCAGAGGCTCTTTGATAGAAAGCCAAACCTAAAAGACTCTGTAAACAGGAGGTGTTTTTAAGTGTTTTCTCTCCCGTGATATGCCGCCGTGTCTGTCGAGGAAACCCAAAAGGGCTGAGTCAGAGATCCCATCTCTTCCGGAGGCAGGGCCAGCACTGCTCTGCTTTGAAAGGCAACATGGAAAGATCAACGGGCATCTCCTGAGGGAGCTGCTTCGCCATACTGAGCTGCTGCCCCGTAGCCAAACAGCCCCGGGGCCTGCAGGCTGCTGCTGCTGCTGCTGCTGGGTTGGCCTGGCCTGTTTACTTTGGGAGGACTTTAAACCCTGCCATCAAGATCTGTATTCTCTCTGTTTGTCCGTCTGTGTCTGTCCCAACCATCCCTATCTGCTTCCCCCCTCGTCTTTCCAGCTTTTGATCACTTATTTGGACAGAATTCCCACTCTTGTCCAAAGCTCTGGGACAAACATTACTCACCGTCCCTCTGCAGCACTCTCACAGATAATAACTGTAAGCTCGAACGTGGCGCTTGATGTGACCCTCGGCCATCCAGATGAGAGCGCGAGGAGGATTTCTGCGCTGTTGTGTTTATATTTCCTCCCTCGTAGCGCCATGGATACCAGTCAGACAGTGCCAAGGTAGGACCACCTCGTAAATTCAGAAACCTATAAATATTTGCCCGTGTTTTGAGTTCAACACAAGCTTGCATTTACATATCGAAAGGTGGTTTCGTGATTTATCTGCCTGGGAGCTCGAGCACTTTACACTTGGTGGTCTCCGGTGAACAAATTGGGTTTTATATAACGCCGAGCAGCAAATGAACACAAACGTTTCCATCAGCGCTAACATTAACACCGAGAGAGAGAAAAAAAATCTGAGCTCTTATGACGCATCGTTTGCGAGGAGAAAATGGCAACGAAAGCATCGGCGCAAATGTCAAAAGTTCAATCTTTTGAAAAAGAAAGAAAAATAGGCGCAATAACAGCGTTCACCTCCAAACTGTGGATGTGGCTGTTACGCAGTGTAGCACATTCCTCCACACTCAATAAACTTAGCTAAATCAATATGTCAAAGAGCAGACAGATAACGCTAAGCCCAGACATAAATCTTCACCATCTCTAAAATCTTTTCATGTGGTATTACTCACAGGCCATATTCTCTTAAGTACAGTAAACATTGTGACAGGTACTTTGAGCTGCTGGTTCAAGAGGACACAGGAAAGTGGATTGTGCTTTAAGCCTCCGGGGGCCAGAAGAAAAGGAAAACTCTTGAGTGAAAACGTTGTCATGAACAATGAAGGCTTGCTTTAATAAAACATAAGCACAGTGTGAAAGCAAAACCACCCAGAAAAGAAGCTGGAGACCTTTGGAAACTTCTGAATTTCCCCAAACTGAAGCATGTGTATTCTTTTTTCCTGCATGAATTCTTTGCCTTGAAGACCCCTTTTTCTTTCCTCCCAGTCGTGAAGAAATCTGGGAAAATAAAGTGTTTCAGCTTTCGTTCAGCCGAAGAGAAAAAGGGAGTTAAAGCAGAGATATGAATGACTCATACAAAAGTATGCCTGAGTAATGCTAATATTATGCAAGAACATGGCCCCGTCCTTTAAAACACAGCTCCTCGTTTAAAACAAACTGTAGATTTATTTGCATCATCAAAAAAATTTATTGGACTGAATTTAAATAAAATTATTTCTCATATTGTTCCAGAAAAAGAAATAAAGCACGACAAAAACAAACAAACAAACAAAACAAACATGATATTTCAAAAGAAATAAATAAGTCCAGCAGAGTGAATGACATGCTCTTTTTGGATGAAGCAAAGTTGTGAAAGGAAAAAAAAAAATACACAAACCCCCGTCTCTGTGCCAAGATGTACATGTAACTCCTCAGACTTCCTTCAATCTCCTCGCTGGTGATTTTTGGCCTGAAATGACTTTTTGTGAAACTCCCACAACTCTGCTGAGGCCCCGGAGACGAGCAGCCTGATCTGCATTCAGCTGTGAGTTCGTCACAGCGGTATTGTCGTAGAAGTGGCCTCCTGTTAATCATCGCGTTGATCAATCAGTCGTCAGATGGTGTGAATTTGTTCAGAGGTGACCTCACTCTTCACTTTGGTCTAATTTTGGTTTAAAATGATGCAACATCAGCATTGTGACAGAGGCACCGTGAGTCAGACGGCGCAGCTCTTTGATTTGGACGTATGTGTTCGGACACAGAGGTCCGGAGCGGTTCTGGGTTTGCTTTGTTCAGACGAGCCGCTGCTTTACATGTAAAAGAGCTTGTGGAGCTCTGACAATAGTACCTCAAGGCTACCAAACAGCTGACAACATTTTAATATCAAAAATTAGTCTGAAGGAGTTTATTATTTGCAATTTTTTTTTTTTTTTAGTAAATGATTAAATGAAAAAAACAGAACAAACATATATGACATAGTCATTTATACCCTGTTTAAACCAAACTAGTTTCAGTCAAATACAGTAAGAGCTTTCAGTGGAAAACATGTGCAGATTCAACACTACTGTACTACCAACAGCCACGTATGAAGAGAAAACACTAGAAAAAAGACATCAGGATGGTTTAACGTCTACTCTATATCCATATCTTTATTAACAATCATAGCCATGTTTTCAACAATGGAAGATTTATAAATATTTTTCTTTTGATTCATAAAAGTTGTCTCGGCACTTATGGCATGATTCCAGTTGTGGAAAACAAAACAAACAAAAACAAAAAAGAAACAGCAATCTAAATGTCCTTAAAGAGTAAAAGAGCGCTTTACGGAGCGCTCGTATCCAATCAACAGCTTTTTTTCTTCAAACAGGAAATCCGTTATGTACACGATGGCTTTCTTTAAAGAACCCAGATCTGGTTCTGTGCCATGGATGGGACAGAGACTGAGTGCACGACAGGTCCAGAAACCATCCACAGCAGGCCACCTAATTGATCATCTGGCCTGGCGTTTCCCTTTGTTGTTGTTGTTGTTGTTGTTGTTGTTGTTTTTAAAGGCAACAAGATCCCCACACCAACCTGGAGCCCAATCCCAGATATTCCATGCTCGGTTCAAGCTCGTTCTGCCACTGAAGGCCGTCTCGCTCTTCTCTCTTTCCCTCCCCTGTCCGACTCTTCCTGCATCAGCTGAGAGGGAAGAAACAAACATCGCCCCCAAATCCTTCCACACCACACAGCATCCAGACGGAAGGGGCCGGAGATGTCGGTCCGCCCAGCAGGTTGAGGTGTTCAGGCTAAGGCCATGGGGCACCAGGGTTCCCCCCTCACTGAAGCTACATCTGATGACTGGGTCAAGCCCACGCTGGTGTACAGGTTGTCCTGTCCCGGGTACTTCACCGCCGAGCCCGAGCCCGCTCCCTCCCCCGAGCTGGACAGCACAGACGAACTGACCTGCAGCACCAGAAAACACAAGGTTAGCTTCCACCTGACATGCAGTCATTTCTGGAGTGTGATTCACGTTTGGTTTGTGGACTGAGATGCCATTCGTATTGCACACATAGAAGAGCTCATTTTACTGTAATGTAACAGTGACACAGTGGTTAGCAGCAGCCTGCATGTGACACAGCAGCTGTTTGTTCATTACAAAAGATTCACCTGTGAGAAGTCAAAGCAAGTCTGACTTTTAAAACAATAGTAATCATTATTATCATCAGTATTTACTAATGAACACCCAGAACATGTGTTGAATTGTTTAAACTAATGTGCCAAATTAGAAATGTGTCCAATCAGAAATTAAAATTGTAATTTATTTGTTACAGGAAACAAAAGAAGAAGAGTCTTACCCCGGACACCTGTCCAGAGGGAGAGCTGGTTTTCGAGCAGTCTTCAGAATTGGATGAAGAGGTGGACGTGGGAGTCATAGAGACAGAGTTGTTATTTCCTACAAACACACAAAACACGTTGTTATGATATTTTTCTTTTTAAAATGTAACTCTAACCATCCACACACACATGAGCAACAATTAGCAGAAACTCACCAGAGGATCCCTTGGTTTTATTCAGAGTTTTCGGTTTTCTTTTTCTTGTCTGGATTCCCTCTTTCTTCATGGCGAGCGGCCGAGGTACCTGCACGTTTGGCACATGTTTTAATTAGCGATGCGTCGACGTTATAAAAAATGAGAGTCGAAGGGAAATTGTGAATTAAATCTGAACGTACCCCGTGTAGTTTAGTGTAGAGGCCACACGCGTTGCACACCGGCTCTCCCTCCGCGTTCCTGCGCCACAAAGTGGTCGTGCTGGTCTGACAGTTGGCGCAGGAGAGGCCGATTCTTCTGGACGTTGACTGGCGACACAAATGTAAAAAATCAGGGATTAAAATCAAATCAGACAATTTAAAAAATAAATTGAAAAATAAATTCTGGCACAACAACAGAGTCTGGGATTTAAGTTTGGGAAAAAAAAAAAAAAAAACGTTTTTGAAGTGTGAGCCACGCTCCATTAATTTAATTATAATTTGGCTCTTCGCGCCCTGTTTCCTAACAATAATACTGCTCCTGTTAGGGCCTCCATTTACGCACGGCTTTTTACAGGATGTTCGTTTTCAGGGAGTCCGTACGTGACATCTGATTTCCGAGTAAAAACTGTGCGTAATGCGCGTAATGGCACCAGGAAAGATTTGCTCCTATTGTCGTCTATTTAGATTTAATCACCTCTGAGTGGAGTTTTAGATAAAAATGTCTGAAGTCCTCCGTGTGGGGAAGGTTCCATCCAGTTCAAACAATCATTAAGTTAAAGCTTTTTTTTGCTTTTTTTTTTTTTTTTTTTTACGAATCCCGCATCAATTAAATTCTGATTGTTGACTGACAATTTAATTTGTGATCAATTCACACAAAAAGCACTAATCCTGGTAAAATCGCCCATTAAATTCATGCGTTTTTAGTAGATTTCTTTTGTAAATTTCTGCCCATTTTAAACGATGAATCCCAGACTTAAAACCAACATCAGCGGATTAAATTCAGATTTGTACCAAAGTGTGTGTGTGTGTGTGTTGGATAAACGTCTGTTTCATCTCAGCGTTTAATTAATATGATCAGCGATAACCTCCAGCCATTGTTAAAGGCAATTAGGCAGGAAACCGAGCGGTGAAGTGGTCCCCTGTCTCCTTACCGTCCGTTTCTGTGGTTTAATTAATGGCCGGCTCAGCCCATTCATTTTGCTGTAAAGGCCGCAGGCGTTGCAGAGAAAGTGTCCCGTGCCGTCGCGCCTCCACAGCGGCGTGGAGATGGAGCCGCAGTTGACGCACTCCCTGCTCTCCCCCATGTCGTCCAGAATATCTGAAACTGAACAGAAGTGTTAAATTAGAATTGTCTGAACAGATATTTCGGTGGGTTGTAATTTTCACATCCGTTTGTCAGAAATTCTCACATCAAAATGACGCAAACACGGATTTCTTCCTGTAAAATAAATAGTTTATAGAATTTGTCTTTTACAAATTTCACAACGTGTATGCTGCTGTGACAATATAGATTTATTAATATTTACGAGATGTCCATTTATTTTGGTTTATTTTTTACTCTAATTGAACGCTGCGGTCGGTTCCAGGCTTGTGCGCACAGTTAGGCCTGAGATTTATTACAGGCCTGACACGCACATGACCTTTCAGACCGAATCCAGTCCAGTTTTAAACACATGAAGACCTTTTTTTTATTATTATTATTGTACTTTACTAAATATACTTTTGGTCTGTTATTTATATTTGTGAGCTCAGGCCTCCAGATCAGGTGCCGTCTCCAAAGCGCGCAGACACTCTGCGTGCCTTGAATGCCAGATTTTTTATTTTTCCATCCCGGTGTCGGTGGGAAGGAAAACAACTCCAACATAATGTCCCCTTTGCGTTTTTTCTTACCTCCGTTTGGTCCCCGAATCAAGGGCGCACCTCTGCTCTGCAAGGTGTGCAGCATCGTGTTATCGAAAGGTCCCGCGGGCCAAGGCGAGGGCAGCTGGGGCGCAACGTAGGGAGAGTAGGGACTGGCGTAGGTCCCGCTGAGAGGGCGAGAGAGGCCGTACTGGTCCCTGCTGCCCACATTCAGTGTGTTAGTGTAGCTGGTGTCTCTGGGCGCCCCGTTATTCATGGGCGGGCTGGGAGGGTAGTGGAAACGACTGGAGGTGTGCGGGCTGCCGGTGCTGTACGAGGGGCTCTCCGGGGTGGACTGAGACCACACCGAGTGGCTGGAGACTGCGTGGCTGGGCTGAGCAGAGCCGCTGGCCTGCAGGTAAGAGAGGCTGGGGATCATGGGGCCCACCCGGGTGCTGGGGACGTACACGGGCGAGTTGGGGTTGGAGTGCATATAACCGCCAGAGGAGGAATCATATCCAGTCTGGCTCTGGGCTGCGGCGATGGCCAGTGTTTGGTACATGTCGGACGGGTCCACCAGCAAGCTCGCCTTGTGCGCTCCGGTGGAGAGGACGAGTTTGCTCCCCTGGTCTAAATCCGTAAACAGCGGGATGTCCTCGGCAGTGGTCAGGGTGTTGTTATGGTGTCCGAAGTGAAGGTAGGAGTGTAGAGATCTGCCGTCGGAGCGGCGGTGGCCCAGCGCGTCGAGCTCGCTCGGAGGCGTCCTCAGCTCCTCCGAGGTGGGACCGTCCCGCCTGCTGTCACCGGGCAGGTAGGTCTGCTCAGCCGGCGACCCTGGGCTGCTGGAAACTTCTCGCTTGACCATGGACCAGCTGTTGTCGCCCAGGTCCATCCAGGAGCACTTTCCATACACCGTAGGGGTTAATAAAAATGGTCAGGGAGTAGCCTACCCTGGAACAGAGAGAGTGGGAACAGTCAGGACACCAGAGGAAGTGGACTTTTCTCACTGGGTGCAAAGGACAAGTGAAGAGTTTCCCCAAAAACATCTGGACAGAAATTCGCCAAGTTTCTAGAAAAAAACGCAAAGCAGCATCTCAGCTTGTTTTCATATTTAAATTAACTAGATTCCTAAAATCATAATCCGTGGATGTGACCGTTTTTTAGATTCATCTCTAGTTCAAGGAAACCACATCCAGTCCACAGTGACTCCCACCGAGCGCTCTAAAAATGCTCTGGATCCATCCGTGTCAAATCTCTGTCCACCCTCCCACACACACACACACACACACACACACACACACACACACACACACACACACACACACAACAGATAGGAAACAAAACGCAATATGTCTTCACAGCGAAAGAGATAACCGTTTGATAAGGCTGAGGACAGATAAGGGCCGAGAGGCAGGCTGGAGCGATAAAACAATACCCCCGAAATGATGAGCTGGTCCCGCTGCGCTCGGCACCGCAGCGCCAGATGTTTCAAAAGCAGCTGTGAGAGTTACAAGACAGAGAGGGGAAAAGATATGAGACGCTTTTCCAGCACGTACCTGCTAGTTGTGTGCCATAGGTCGCACGCAAAGTTCCTAATAGTGAGCCGCTGCTTCTCTTGGAAGTACTGGGAAACGCTAGTGCGGGCTGACGAGGTTTATGAGAGGAGGCGCTTGTGGTGGCTGCAGGCTGCAGGAGGCGGACCAATCATGAGGAGTGTGAGCCGCTGGAGGCACGATGGGGGTGCCAGCCTATGAACTGCTCCAATCAATCACACAGAGAGAGAGAGAGAACAAGATTATGTCTGAAACTTGAAATCATTTGTAAATGAAGTCATGCTTCAGAGTTTTACGCGTTTGGACAAAGATGGAGCTCCACCCATCCTGCTTTCTATAACTGCACTTCCTGATTAATAACTTTCACAAATGAGCTTAAATACTTAAATTTTTTTGTTGATATTTTCTTTCCCACCTCCCAGTGTTTCTGCTCTGATCCCAAATCTGTTGATGGCAGAAGAATAAAGTACAAATATGCTTTCATTTCACTTTTACAATCTAGAGGGAAATATTTAAATTATTTACGCACCTCACAGCTAAAATCTCCATGTTTGACTTTACATAAAAATCACGCATTCATTTAATAGAACAGGATTAATTCTGACTCCATAATTTAGTTTAATTTATCTCCAGATCAACCACAGCAGTCAGATCATTTCACGTTGACGTAATATTTAAAACAATCCAATTATGCAAGCATGAAACATGAGACTTTATGGCTTTTTTTTAAAAGAACATTTCTGCACTTTCACACATATCCAAGGCGAGACTTTCACTTTTACGCACTGGTTCTGTTTGTTCATGTAAAAGATCTTTATAGTAAACTCGGTTGATTCGTGATTATTACATGTATTGTTTTTATTATATAATGCAGATTAATTCTCATAAATCATTATTAATTGACCGCCTGCTTTGTAGATGTGGGTCAGCGAATGAAGCCTTTAAAGAATCAGTTCATGAAATATAGATTTTTTTTTATGGGTTTATGTGATTTATTTCTGTGGGGTGTTTTTTTGTTTTTTTTACTGGCGGTTTCTTGAGCTTTAGTCCAAATGACTTCTTCCTCTTTGTTTATTCTCTCTCCTCGGTGCAGTGATCAATAAACCCCCCCTCCCCTCCCCTCCCCTCCGTCCTCCGTAATTAGTTTATTTAAGTCAGTCGGCCTCACTGAGGATTAAATGGCTTCGTTTGTGTAGAAATACAAACTCTGCGGAGCGCTGCGCTGTGAGCCGCGCTGATTCGTTCAGCCCCAATATACATTGTGATGTGATCAAGGTGTCAATTAAATCATCCTCTCATTTGCAGGCGTTCTTCCCAGAAGCTATCAAACCGGTTTGGAACCACAAATTGTGCCAGAGAACGAACCCACCCACTCGGCTTTACACCGCAGCCTTATTTGTAATAAATAGCTGCTGGGAGGCCTGTTGCTGCTGCTGCTGCTGCTGCTGCTGCTGCTGTGTCCCCGCAGTGGCACAAACAAGGCTCGTTGGGTGTCTGTTTTGTGTGTTAAATATTCCAAGAATTCTCAGCTCATGTATTCAGCAACAGCTCCAAACAGAACTTCCCTCACATGAACTCGTGTTTGGAGCTACTTTTACGCACGCAGGCACACCGCGCTCTCCAGCAGATCCGCCGGCCTCGTCCTTGTTCTCAGCGAGTCTGAATCAAACCCGACACAGCATCTGACCTCCATGGTAACTGGAGAGGTTCTGGAGACGTGGATTTATCAGAGGGGAGGAACCAGGCCCATGCGCTACTGTCTCCCATCCGCGCGTCGCCCCGGTGAGCAGTTGTCAGGGAGGTGCGAGAATACAAAATCCTGTTGTTTTTTCTCTTCTCCTCTCTCTGCCCCCCTCTTTTTTTCTTTCTT